CACTAGTGAACTCTACATTGATAAACCTACATTGCAGCATGAAATCAAGGCAACATATAAAACAAAATGCATTATACAACTTATACTCTTTTTATTTTCTGTGATAACATTTTGTAGCATTAAAATTCACCATCTAGTTACAAATACTCATTGTTTGTGACACCTGTGTGTTTCCATAATGATTTTCATATATATATATATATATATGTGTATATCTATTTGTATTCATAAACCTAAAACATTCTCAATGTATTGATACTTATCTTCCAGTTTTCAAATTAATACCTTTTGGAGCTTCTTCGTAAGTTGGTGGAGCATTGTCCATGCTTCCATAGTCCGCAGAGACGGATGCTGTTGAAACAGGACGTTCATCTTCTTGAGGCTGTTTTATTAACAACAAGTTCACTATATCCAGACTAACAAAACATTATCTCTGTAACTAAATTCTTAGATAATATTTCTAAAAAAACTGGAGTTTAGATAGTGTTATAGTCATTACTCATAGCTTGGTTAAACAATATATATATATATATATGCTTAACAGTGAATGATCTAGCACCAGACTTCAATTTTTTATTGAATTTTACTAAGCCTACTTGCAAAATTGAAGAATACACACACTAAAAAAAATCAAATATTTATGGCATATTTGTATAGTTCTAAGGATTTTCTCTTATACATACCTCCTTCACAATACAAGTTAATTCCTAATTAATACCTGAAAGGTAATTAACAAATTAATCCAAAAGACTTAAACTATACAAAGCAGGAAAAGTTTTAGTTTAATTATAAATTAATAAAATTTGCCATTTTGCTAATGAGTGGCAACAATTTTTTAAAGCAAAACACAGTCAAATTAAAAATGCAATATCCATATCAGATAAACAGAAAAATGTTTATAAAATAAAACAGACAATGGGTACATGCACATTACTGATTTAGTGTAAAAGTGAATAATTTGAAGTATTTTTTCATGGCTTAACAGCAATAATTAATGTAATAAAATATTGATTCATATGTATCATAATAATTAATCAATCAATTACAACAGCATGTTTGTGAATGTGATCTTTCACAAAAAACAATTATCTGTACTTTTAAGATGAAAATACATGAAAAAGGCTTTGGAAGTAAAAATAGTATTCAATTTTTATTTCAATTAAAGCCTTGATTGTTTCATCTAATTAAAATAAAACATTAAGTAGTTTTTCAATATTGTTTCACTTGTAGAAATTTGATAGAAACATAACACACAAGAAGATCTAGAAAAATGTATTTGTATTGTTCATTAAACTTACACATTGAGTACACATTAAACTTTACAACAAACAGTGTGTGTATAAGCCCTTCACTACACTTAACTTCAAGCATTGAGTACACATTAGGCTTTACAACAAACAGTGGTTATAAGCCCTTCACCACACATTACTTCAAGCACTGAGTACACATTAGGCTTTACAACAAACAGTGAGTATAAGTCCTTCACTACACTTTACTTCAAGCATTGAGTACACATTAGGCTTTACAACAAACAGTTCGTATAAGTCATTCACTACACTTTACTTCAAGCATTGAGCACACATTAAACTTTACAACAAACAGTGGTTATAAGCCCTTCACCACACTTTACTTCAAGCACTGAGTACACATTAGGCTTTACAACAAACAGTGGGTATAAGCCCTTCACTACACTTTACTTCAAGCACTGAGTACACATTAGGCTTTACAACAAACAGTGGGTATAAGTCTTTCACTACACTTCACTTCAAGCATTGAGCACACATTAAACTTTACAACAAACAGTGTGTGTATAAGCCCTTCACTACACTTAACTTCAAGCATTGAGCACACATTAGACTTTACAACAAACAGTGGTTATAAGCCCTTCACCACACTTTACTTCAAGCACTGAGTACACATTAGGCTTTAAAACAAACAGTGGGTATAAGTTCTTCACTACATTTTACTTCAAGCATTGAGTACACATTAGACTTTACAACAAACAGTGGTTATAAGCCCTTCACCACACTTTACTTCAAGCATTGAGCACACATTAGACTTTACAACAAACAGTGGGTATAAGCCCTTCACCACACTTTACTTCAGGCATTGAGTACACATTATATGGAATAGGAATAGGAGAACCCATCCTGTCTACACCAGTTACTATTGCTGTTAACTATGTTATAAGGAGTAGGAGAACCCATCTGGCCTACACCTGTTACTACTACTGTTAACTATGTTATATGGAGTAGGAGAACCCATCTGGTCTACACCTGTTACTACTACTGTTAACTATGTTATATGGAGTAGGAGAACCCATCTGGTCTACACCTGTTACTACTACTGTTAACTATGTTATATGGAGTAGGAGAATCCATCTGGTCTACACCTGTTACTACTACTTTTAACTATGTTATATGGAGTAGAAGAATCCATCAGGTCTACACCTGTTACTACTACTGTTAACTATGGTATATGCAGTAGGAGAATCCATCTGGTCTACACCTGTTACTACTACTGTTAACTATGTTATATGGAGTAGGAGAATCCATCTGGTCTACACCTGTTACTACTACTTTTAACTATGTTATATGGAGTAGGAGAATCCATCTGGTCTACACCTGTTACTACTAGTGTTAATTAATAATTATTGCTGATTTTTCAGTTATTGTATTACTACCTTAGAAGTTTAATATAAATAATATGTCATTGTATTTTGTAATTCCAGTTATCTGTCAATCATGCTCTATAGCATATGTCACAGTATCTTCTGATTCAAGTTACCTGTCGATCATTTTCTATAGCATATGTCACAGTATCTTCTGATTCCAGTTACCTGTCGATCATTCTCTATAGCATATATCACAGTATCTTCTGATTCCAGTTATCTGACGATCATTCTTTGTAGCATATGTCACAGTATCTTCTGATTCCAGTTATCTGTCGATCATTTTCTATAGCATATGTCACAGTATCTTCTGATTCCAGTTATCTGTCGATCATTCTCTATAGCATATGTCACAGTATCTTCTGATTCCAGTTATCTGTCGATCATTCTCTATAGCATATGTCACAGTATCTTCTGATTCCAGTTACCTGTCGATCATTCTCTATAGCATATATCACAGTATCTTCTGATTCCAGTTATCTGTCGATCATTCTCTATAGCATATGTCACCGTATTTTCTAATTCCAGTTATCTGTCGATTATTCTCTGCAGCATATGTCAGTCAAATTAATTTAAACTAATAGACCTAAAGGTTCAAATATATTATGTGACACTGTATTCATTAAAGAAAACTTATGATAACCCTGAACAGTTTAGTTAGAAAAAAAATATTTCGATATATTCTTTCACTACAAGAATTGTAAACACAAACCTTCTGTTCAGTTTTTATCAAGTCTTCTGTACTTTCCTTCATTATTTTTGAAGTTCCAAGATGATATAGTTGTATGAAACAAAGTTGGCTATGCCTGTGACATGAAAGACAAAATTAAATAATGCACGTTGAAACTATCTGTACAATAGTAATAAATTTGTGAGAATATACACTCTGTGTGTATATCCACTGGTATGTTGTTTTTTATATTCTATATTTTCATAGTCTCACTTTAACACAGTATATGGACAATAAGTGACCATTTCATTCTTCAAGGAAGCCCACCTCAGAGAAAAACTTAAAATTTAAACCCACTCTTTGTTTATCGTTTCTTATGTTAAGCTTGTGTTAAATGCTAGCCTTCACTACCGCCAACAAAGACTCATTTAAGTCACTCACATTGTTAAAAAATAAAAATAACAAGAGCATGGCCTGACTTTTCCAAATCTTAAACTTGTGTCCTATCATCCTGTTAACTTCAGATTATTATATAAATCAGGTGCCTTTATCCTATTGATCCCCCACAAAACCTTGTGAACTTCAGTAAGATCACCTTTTACCCCAATTTTCTCAAAAGAAAATACATTAAAAGATATTAACCTATTTTTAATACCTCTATAACAAATCAATTCTATCTGCAGAATCATCTTAGTAGCCCTCCCTTCCTCTGAACCTTTTCCAATGAGTCAGTATCTCTTCTTAAATATGCAGACAAAAATTGTACACAATATAATAACTGAGACCTAACTAGTGACCTATAGAGAGATAGTTACCTCTTTTTATTTGTAATCAATGTTTATAAATGCATGCTAAAATTCCAGATCTATTACTAACAACAGATGTGATATTAAAATACATTGTGCATTTTTATACATTCTTCAGAGATACAGGAATTTAAAAGTAATTTTGTTTACCATTTCCATGTTGTTTTGCCATAAATACATGGTCCAGAAAACTGCTTAAGTTTTGTTCTAGTCAGTGTTGTAGGTCTTGAGACTACCCTTTGTACGATCTTGATCTCACACCACTTGCGACTGGCTAAATATTATAGTTTTACCAGTATTTGGACATACCCAGAATTATTAAGCACTAAATGTAAATTACACAGCAGTTCATACAAGGTATGATGTGGCATCAAAGATGTTTTACAAGTAAAACCCCATGATAGCTGGTACTACACCTTTGTAATAATGTTTATAGTCATGTTTCATCAGTAAAACCCCCTTGGTAGTTGGTACTACACCTTTGTAATGATGTTTATAGTGCATGTTTTACCAGTAAACCCCCCTTGGTAGTTGGTACTACACCTTTGTAATGATGTTTATAGTGCATGTTTTACCAGTAAACCCCCCTTGGTAGTTGGTACTACACCTTTGTAATGATGTTTATAGTGC